ACATTTCTTATAATTAAAGAGGACTGGCTATATGCTCGAGGCTTTAATTTGGCACCAAATTGAGCGCGCGCTTTTTCACGCGAGGTAACCGAGCATCGTCATGATTGGAGATTTTCCGTTTCCATAGAAACCCTACTGTTCAGCGCAGATGTTGGAAGTTTGAACAGCGCAACTGTCCAGGAGACACGAAGACAAAAGAACAACAAAAGTATACGTGAAAAAAATGTCGGCAGCTGGATTAAGAGCAATTTCTGAGTCTCCAACTGACAGTTTGAAAGATAGCGATCAATTTAGCATCAAGGTTAACCTAAATGGAATCGAATTTTGCGAATTTTGAGTGGAAAATTTTATCAACTAAAATCCTTGAGTATCGCTGCTTTTTTGATTCAGGGCGATGTGTTAACAGAAGAAAACGAAGATGTAGAGGCGGTTGAAGCGAGCGAAGGCAACAGTGGATTTTTCATAAAACACGGAACTTTCATGGGAACAGAAAGGGAGCAAATGGATTCGCAAGCCTCAGATATGGCTTCCTGTGACAGTGACTACGACACAGACCTCGAGACGGAAGGTAACCGGGAAAAAATCAACATTTTGATAAGAAGACGAATTTCTTATCGGCTGTGCTCTTTAATGATAAGTTCCCTTATTTAAATGACGGCTCACACGTAAACAATTTGTCTGTTTACTATTTTTGATTTGGGAGAAGTGATATTATTTAAGGTTTGTTTTCAGTTTTCATTCTCTTAGCTTTTTATGACGAGTTTTGAATATTTTAAATTAATGTTAAATGACCGTTAAGGGTTTGATTTGCATAAAGCAGAAATTAGGGAAGGTCGCTTTTGATAAGAAATGGAAACGCAAAAACGTCATTTGCCGCATGAGCATAAAAAGTTCCGTATGTTTTGAGAAAAAAACACATAAGATTAAACACAATTTGAATTTTGAATAAGGTAGTTCATGATTGGGAGAAAGATTATAAACTCGCTTAAGAAATAATTTGCCTATCTTCAGTCAGTTACAATTTCCTCATCACTCGTTTCAAATTAACATGTTTGAAAGGGAAAATACAAGGTATACACACAAAATTATTTTAAAGCGAAATTACGTTGACGGTGGCAAATATCAAGAGAAATCGAAAAAATATGAGGGAAAAATGCCAAACTAATCGCAAATTTAGTTTTGCGCCTAATTTAAGGATTCGTTAAAAAAAATCCTCTCAAATTTGTACTTTTTTGCAAAATCTCCAATCTAAGGCAAATTTGCATAATGAAACATTCGGGACAAGCAAAAAATATTTTTCAGTGTTTTTTAATGATCTGGTTTAGAAATTCTTCGTAAATGGTTTTATTTAGAATGAAATAGTTATCCATCTGTAAAGTTATAATTGCGTTTTTGTAAAAATTTTTTTCTTTATTTTTAATGTAAACATATGCCCTTTCTTTCAGCCTATTTTCTCTTCCTAAAATCGCCTTGGACGAAAAAATAAATGAAAATAAAAACACGAAATTGAAAAGAAAGAGTATTTGATATGATTATTATTTGGTAACCGAGCCTTCCTTTAAAAAACGATACCAAAAAAAGGGAGACAAATATTTCGTTCACACAGTCTGCATAAAAACTCACTCTCTAAGAGAAATCAGACCTTGAACGGCAAGTAATTATGTTTTGATTTTTGAACGTAAGCATTTCTGGAGAAGCCCCGGTCAATTTTCATTTCGGTTCCTTGGCGGTCGTCAGCCACTGAATTTAATACCTTAACGCTCTATGGTGAGACATCATCTCCGTATCATAGTTCGAAATTGCATTTCTCTCGACAAAGAACACCATAATGGCCAGCAGTGTTGATATCGATCGACCTCTGGCCGGTGTTCTTTAACTTTACAGTCTACGTATACTTGAAATGTTGCAGAAAAATCTGAGAAGTTCGATGCCACGGGGTGGAAGATCTACCTCGCTGCCTGTAAGTTCTTGGATATAACACCCGTTTCCTTCTTCCTGAGAAATATTCAGGAGAAACAGCTAAATTTTAGGCATCGTTTGTTGGGGGCCAAAGGAGGACAGGCCCTTGCCGCCGCTCTAGAGGTAAAGTATCAGACGTACCTTACTCTTGCGCGTTTTTCTTTCCAAAACTCTCCATTTTCTTCTTATCTATAACCTTTCGGTCGCTCGTCGCCGGAATAACAGTCCTTCTTTATGCAGCGTTTCCAAAACGCTCTTAGATTACGATGAGTAGGGAATCTATAGGATACATGATATTTGCCCTCTCTTGTAGAAAACAATCTTTCGCAGACAAATTCAAGTTTCACTGCCCAAAAGAGGAGTCACTTTTCAACTCGCCCTCGTCCCCCTTCCCCCTGAGCAATCCTCGTTTCGTACAGAATGTTTCAGTTTTGCAGTGAGTTTCATTTAAAAATTAAGGACGTACAGATCTTAATAGTACCCCTTTTGTTGCTTTCAAGTAAATTTCAGTTTAAATTCTGAGCGAGTAGATTACCTGCAACCCCAAGGGTACTTATCGCCGCAATATCGATTGTAACTTCTAATCATTCCATGCCTGTTTGTTCTATGTAGCTCAACACAACCTTGGCCAGTTTAGACCTCCATGAAAACTTCTTAGAGGGAGAAGGCGGCGCAGCTATCGCAGCAATGCTCAAAGAAAACTGCTACATCACAGAACTGGTAAGTAGAGAGGCCGAGTAATGAGGATATCGGCCCAGCTCATGTTATCGAACTAAAAAGTTAAATCCGTTTCTTCAGCCAAACAGTGCGTCTTTTTCATTCCTTTCTTTTTTCCTTTCAAGCTTATCTACTTTTCCCTTGTCAATCTCTGATGATTTTCTCTTTTGATGAACTTTCAACTTTTCGCATTTATTTTCCAATATCACTGATTGGGAGGCTGGAACAGGGATGTCAGGAAAATCAGTACATGTATTTCTGCATTCACGGCTCCAATGTTCTGCAAAAATATCATTATGACCAGAATGCCAGTTTCTTCCAGAAGTCCAAAGAATTCTGGTGTAAGCAGCTTGTATTTCAGGGTCCCGGGGCTTAAGATAAAACTTGACTGGTTCACCGTTTGCGTTGCCCGTATGAAAGCTATTTTTACAAAAGGCTGAGCAACAAGACCTCTTGACCGTGGTAAGCCTAGCTTTTACATAGCCTGCGTGTTTGTTCAGCTGTCCCTGCAAAGCGCTGAGCTAGAACCCAGACCTGCCGTAAGGAATGTTCTTAATTAACGGATTAATTGGTTGATTGATTGCTAAATATACTAACCCTCAACTCTTTCTATGGGTCTGTTCATATAATCCATCAGCTGATTGATTGATTGACTGACTAATTGAGGGACTTATGAATGATTGATTGGCTAAATGATCAAACAATAGATTGATGTGTCTATTCATTTATGTCAAATGAAAGGATGTATCTTCAAACAAGCTTGGTTCTTATGGCTGCATGTCGATGTGTGATATGCTACAGAATAACGTCAGCTTGCTCAAAATTGATCTATCAGATAACGGTTTTAGTGACAAGGATACTGTTTATTTGCTCGACGCGTTCAAGGTAGGTTAAACACTCTTCAATCATTTATTCAAAGAAAATGATGTAAAACCTACCACTGAAAAGCACAGCAGTCCTCGGGCTTTATTTTCGCCATTTATTGAACCATCAGTCTTAATTCCATCATCGTTTTCATCCCAGGGAAACGACAAGGTCACCTGGATGAACCTGAGCCACAACAAGTTCTCGGAGAAGTCTGGAGAAAATCTGGGTCTTGGAATAAGTATGCACTTAGACACTATTACCCAGCTATTCCATATTTACTTTTCTCTAGCTTGGTCTCTTGGTTGTGTTCTTGGATCTGCACATTCAGCTCCCACAGATCTAGCCGTTATCCACTCAAGAGTGTAAACGAGTCGCGGCAAGCTATAACAACAACAACTATCTTTTTTCTTTTATTTACATTCTTTCAACAAAAGTTATCCCTAGTCTAACCCACACACGGCTAAGCTAATCTAAGCAACCCGGTCCAAAATCTAATAAGGTCTGAATTAAAGGAGAATCTTAAATCTCATCAGTTTACATAATTACACAGGAAAATTATTTTTATAAATGATAAAACAACAGCTTAGCTTCATGCAAACATTAAAACATAAATAAAGGGACTTTTGCAAGCGTTATTAGTTATTGTACTTACCTTGGAAATGATCTCGTGTGTGTCAAGAAAGAAATTTCTCTCGCAAATATACTAGGTAGTAGTTTTTTTTTTTCTTTAAAGTTGAATGTCGAGGGAAATCCGACAAAACACGGGGGCTACCCTTTCGATGCCGGGACTGACATCCCGTCAAGGGTGGAGTAGCACTACTTTCAGTCGCGTCAATGATAATGATTCCGCAGTATTTTACATTCCGGCTGGTGAGCTGATATACCCCCTTCTTCTGTTAGGTTTTAACGACGCTATGGAATACCTCGACTTAAGTTGGAACCACATTCGACGTAAAGGCGCCACTGAAATCACCAAAGGGCTACGGGTAAGAACGAGTTTTTTGGCGAAAACAACGCTGACGAGAACATGAACGGAAATGAATAAATTACACTCACTGGTAGTTTTATGACCTTTTTTTCAGACGAATTGCACCCTGAATACATTGAATTTATCGTATAATGGTTTTTCCAATGACGGAGCTGTCGCTTTGGGTGAAGCAATAAGAGCGAATAATACGCTGATTGAGTTGAACATCAGGTGAATGTAACTAATACAGCCAGTGATTCTAGTAAACCTCCTGTAGGAAAATTAAAAGATTTCGATTTGACCAAACGGATCGTTTGGCAATGCAGCTCTAGGCTTCAGAATCTTTTCAACTTTTAAGTGTTATTTTCATTTGAAAAATATCTTGGGGTAGCCGTTGTTTGACAGGTTTGATCAGAATTTTAGACTCATAATTGTGAAATTTCAGGTGTTATTCAAAATATTAATTTAAAGGTATTAAGTAAGGCGCATCTGGAAAAATAGTTGAGAGAAACCGAGCGCTATTTATCCTAGTCATTTGTATCTGTTTCATGTACATTCTGTGATAGTTTTTCTATTTTCGTTAACTAGTCATAACCGAATTACAACCCAAGGTGCTTTGTGTATTGCTAAAGGACTGGAAGGAAACAACACCGTAGAGATATTAAAGGTAATTCACCTCAATTCAAATAAGCTACATACGTATCTGGGGCGAATCCAAGATTTACTGAAGGTGATTCAAGTAAACATCTGGAGTGGGTTTGTGGTGTCTCGGGTGACTGCCTCTCCCGCGTGAAACTTTGATATCCAGATCCTCGGAAAGGCGATCTCCAATTGCAGGTTGTTCAGACCTTTGAATACAATCTCTGTTTTGAGCTATTTTAAACATCTCTTGTATCCACCAAACTCTTTCGTCAGAAAACGCATGGGGTGAAACATTATAGAGAGTTTGGAAGAACCAATCTAGATCTGCCCCAGCAGATAACAAATTTTCTTAAATTCACTCCTTTATTTCTGAAAATTCCAGGTCGTTTTCTGTTGTCTTGTTTTATTTAACTTTACCTTCCATATTGCCTCGTGCATTACTTAGATATTTTTCCTCTTCGTTCCTTTTTGACATAAAAAAATAGCATACTTTGAAAATCAAAAGTCCATCGAATTCCATCCATAAATGAACACCCACAAAGGTCTTTGGTAACTCCAGAAACGCCAGCCTATATCAAACTTCGCTGTTGCGGTTTTTCAGCACCGCTGTAGACTTACAGTTCATAATCATTTAAATTTCTTGATGGAAACGAATCCTCACCCTCCACAGAGTTTTGAAGATCATGCCCATTGGTCACTGTTGGCAAACTTTGATATTATCTTCTCCGCATTACATTGTAAATGCTTCCTTGATGGTCGATGTCTAAAATCTGCCTTGTAGCGTAAAATGCAGGCTTTGAACCCCAAAAGTATTTGTAAACATTGACGAGAGTATTATATTTAACAATTATTCCACGAGCGCGCGTTGGATATGAGTTGATAGAGAGTCAACGAGGCGCGTAGCGCCGAGTTGGCTATAATCATCTCATATCCAACAAGCGCGAGTGGAATAATTGTTTTAATAAAAAAGGTGAAATTAAATTATTAAATTTTATAAAAGTTTTTAGCTCCCTTCTAATTTTAAGCTGACGCGTACGCTTACCATATTTGTAGATTGTATAAGATTCTTATAAACTTTTTATTGGCTTAGCCGTTATAGTATATGAGCCAGTATACTACAATCTACAATCTACTGGCTCATATACCATAACGGCTAAGCCAATAAAAAGTTTATAAGAATCATCAAGAAGCTATATACAGAGGTACACGCCAGACTTGTAGTTGATGGTGAACTGACCCAATCCTTTGAATACAATAGCGGGGTTATGCAGGGGTGCAAACTAGCTCCAACACTCTTTGGCATCTACACAGTAGTCTTACTCTGGCTCGCTTTCAAGAAAATCAAGCACACCTGCAGAGTACAGATCAGGTTATGTTATGATGGAGATCTTTTTTACCCACGTAGACTCGAAGCAAAAACAAAAATTCTTACAGAGTTTATTAGAGAAGCTCAGTATGCTGACGACATTACTACTTTTATGTAAGGCGTGAGTAGTCCAGTGGTCAGTGCGCTGGACTCTGGGTCAGATGGCCCAGGTTCAAGTCCTGGCTGGGGCTTGACGTTGTGTCCTTAAGCAAGACGCTTCACTCACATTGCTTCGTCTTGTCGGATAGGACGTGAAGCCGGAGGTCCCATCTCCTGCACCTATCAATGAGTTAATTTCGGCAGGGAACGTTAAAGAACCCACATCACGAGATTACTGTGATGTGGTCTGGCCTGTTTACTGGGAATGGGGAGAGGGGGCATCTGTAAAATTTCCCCTTTATTAATTGTAAACTGCCGCCGGCAGTCTGGAAAATTCCCCCGCACAGTGTTGTAAAGCGCATTAGAGCATTTACATGGAAATGCGCTATAGAAATTGATATATCATTATTATTATTATTATTATTATTATTATTATTATTATTATTATTTCGTGACACGCCAAAGGGTCTGCAATCGCTTTTGACCTCCTACAATGTCGTTGCTAAGAGGATGGGCCCGTGCATCAACACGGTTACTCAGCTGTCTATTGGTAACACAGCTGAGTTTTTCGTCACCCGCTTCAAGTACTTCGGCAGGTATGTCAGCACTGACTGCTCTATGAAGGAGGAACTTGCATCTCGTATTCAAGCAACGTCATGTGCATTTTTGGTCGACTACGTAAAAGAGTATTCGACTCGCATGATCTAACAGCTCCAACTAAAGTTGCTGTGTACAACCAATGCCTAATACCCCTTCTAATGTATGATAGTGAAACTTGGACTCTATATCAACATGAAGTCAGGCAGCTCCGTACAATACAACAGCGTCATCTACGTTTTCTCTTAAACATCAAATGGGACGATTACATCAGCAATGAAGAGGTGTTGCGACGCGCGGACGTTGAAGACATTGAGGTGATGTTGGTAAGGACTCGCCGGCGCTGGTTAGGACACGTTAGTCGAATGGACAATGAGAGGCCTGTAAAGCAGCTCCTGTACTGTGAGTTGGCCCATGATTCTCGCCCAGTAGGCTGACCCAAGCTTCGTTTCAAGGACACCTGAAAAAGGGCATTGAAGTGTGGCCACGTCTTAGATCAGTGGCTTTCAACCGTGAATAACAGAGCCGAATGGAAGAGGCTCACTATGGCAGTCTGTGACGCATAGAACTCTAAGAGGGTCTAAGATTATGAAAAGAGAAGAGCTCGTCGTAGAGCTGAACAGAAGAAAACTGTGGACATACCCGTGTTCGGGCTATAGGCATATATATATAGGTATATTGGCTCATATACCACTATAACTAAGCCAATAAAAAGTCTTGAATTGCATTATCCAATGATCCAGTTTTTTATGATAAGAAGTATTCAACCGAAATAAGCAACCTGCACTGCTAAACCAGGAAGGCTCATTTTCATTAAATTTCTGTTTCCCAATTTATTTCCTACAGATTTGTGGCAATCCCATCGGAGTTCCGGGCGCCATGGCTATAATATCAGCTGCGAAAAACTATTCTGACAGCGCTTTGACTGAGCTGCATTTTAAGGTGCACGAGGTTTAAAGTTTTATTAGCAAATATTACAAAAGTCAAATGCTACTACATTCGCCATTATAGCGAAGCATTGTTTGTTTACTGCGCACCACTGAGCACGGAAAGTAACACTATATAAACTCACAAATTATGATTTTTTCTCTTCAAAGAATTCACTCTCTCAATTATAGATGATTCAGTTTGGTGAGAGCGTCTTTTATTTCTACTTGAGAAAAATTTTTGTTCACAGAGTTTTAATTTCACCTTAACCCCAGCTTATGACAAAAGTTCCTTTCATGGGAAAGAATGTAGTTTCTAGAAATATAGTGGAAAAGAAAAATCCACAATTGTGGGGGATAGTTTGAAGAAGACCGCGATTTCTTGGGTATTTTCAGGATATATACCTCGATGAGGAGTTCGATTTGCTTTTGGCGGAGGTTCGCGAGGTGAAACCTGATTTTCGAATCATAGCAAACCTAAGGTCTGGTGCCAAGGATCCTCTCAGTGTTGTTAGAACCTTTGTCTCAAACAATCAGGATCAATGGCTTGAAATCTGTCAGCAGTTTGACTCAGATGGCACGTTCGGAATTACAAGGACAGACTTTGTCAAATGCCTGAGGGTAAGCACACAGGGAAAAGGTGATTAATGTAAGGTACCGCTGCAGCTTGTACATCTGTGGTAAAACAACTGGAAAACATTCATGAGAAAACATTCATGAGAAGCTTCTTCGATCGTGAAACAATAACTTACCAAACATTTAAACTTTGAGCACTTTACGAAACTATAGGAGCTAATTGGCTTTTCCGATTGTTATAATGGCTCACAATATTGAACCCTCTTATCCGTTTATGACTTTCTAAACCCTTTCCTAAATGATCATGGATTTTTAAATGATAACCTTACCGGGCAATTAGTTTAAGCTCGTATCTTCAACGCTTTGAAAGCTTACCTCGATCAATTAACATCGCTCGATGTCTGTACGGAAAAATAGGGTATGTCGCCAGATCAATGCAGACGCCTCAATTTGACGAACGAAGTCGATGACGTCACATAAAGTCGTCGTCGAGAAAGAAGTCATCGATTCATAAGCTTCCTATTACGAAGTTGAAAGACGTTTGAGATGATTTGACTGCTCTTAATGATTGTAGGATGAACCAGAGGTTATCCTTGAGCAATTGTTTGATTTATCTTAATTCCACTACTTCACCGTGCTTAAATATGCTGTAAAATTGCCTTCGTACTTCTCTAGCTCTTATTTTACCTGAAAGTGGAATCTTTAACCTCTCTTTTATAGAAGGCTGGTATTGAATTCGGAATAGAGCAAACCGCCGGGCTACTCACCCAACTTGACCCCATGAAAACCAGTTTTATAAACTACACGTGAGTATTATTTATCACGTTATCATACATTCTACCAACTTTTCATATCCTTGACAGTCACTGTGGGTTATTCATTATTACTGTTCAAGTTTAACGAGTTCATCTCCTCAGTAGGTCTTCTTGGTACCGACTGACTGACGGACTCCCGGCCCTTTTAAAAATTTCCTGTACATAGGCCCCTACGATTGTTTAAAGTTACATTTTCGCTGGTGGCAGTTGTTTATGGGCAAGGGACCGGTTGTACGCAGATTTATATCTGCAGTAATATCCAAAGACTATACCCTCTCAGTAGCAATTGAGTTACAGTCATTATTCATTCAAACTAGTCTCGCTGGCGGGAATGTAGTCCACAAAAACTGCAATATTTTACTTTCCTGTGTTGCAGGAGTAAGAGGCTAGGATATAAAGAATTACCCCCAAAGGAGCTAAAGAGCTGATAGGAAATGCATGTTTGTCAAAATAGCACAGATTGATGTAGCCAAAAAACAAAGTTAGATACCATGTTGGTTATCGATTATTACTTTTTGGACTGCAAAAATATTTTTTGATAAAACGAGATTTATTACATACCCCTAGTGTAGCTGGTAAAAACAAAAGTTAAAATAAAAAAAAAAACAAAAAATTAATCAATAAATAAAGAGGTTGGTGATTTAATTTAATTTCCGTGATTTTCATTGCAAAGTTTTAGGCCTACCTTCAAGAACCAGATCCCTCAAACGGTAGGGAACGTATTTCTTCGAGATGGCTGCTGCCCTTGAAGCTTATCATTCTGGTCATTTTCTATGCCTGTAGTTTGAGCTGCACAACTCGGAACTTATAAATCGACGAAGGAAACTGCCCTAAGGCTCTCTTAGGGCCGTCAGCAAGTAGCAAGTATGCCACCGATATCTGGACAATTTAGACAGCATGCATTGGTAACTTGATGTTAAGCACTGAGAAATATTTAACGACAGCTCGTCTGTATAATTTTAAAATAGAAGATGACAAGAATAATCCTTGAAAAGCAGTGGCTCTATGAGAGAACGAATATCCTTGTCATCTCTGAGTCTGAAAAAGAACCTCTTTTCTTTACTTTGGTCTGAGAATCAAGCAAAAAAATGATGGACCAAACATCGCGAACAAAAGGGGAGTTCAAATTATTTGTTTTGCGCGTTAGGACAACCATTTCTACTAACTTGTGTTCTTTATCCATGACACTTGTGGCCGCATTCACGTTCAGCCTTGGAGCCTAGTGAATTGGATCATCTGCGAGCATTCAGAGGGCTATCTATTGCGGAGTGACGTATGCATTACTGGCATGATTTCACTGTGCAATGTTAAAATACGACAGATCATTAGTAGACCACATCGTTTCCGAAGAATTAAGCGATATAAAACTATAAATTTGTTCTCTTGAAGGGTTTTTTTTAACTCCATAGTGTTTATCATCCCCCCTTATCGGCTGAATGGCCACATGAGAATAGCATCCGTGGTGTGTGACAATCAGTATCAAATGAGATAAGCTGAAGAATGTTTAATAGGAGATTGTTGCTTGAGATCGGCATCCCAAAGATGATCGACTTTGGCACACTCTAGTCATTACATGTGGCAGTAGCGACGTTAAAGGTAGCTCTTGGTCAGCTACGAACCTTCAATAACACGCGAAAGGACAATTATAATTGCAACTCTTTATAACAAACATATTAAATATTCCTGACTCGTGCCGACATCTTTGTCCCAGAGTTTAAAACAGTGAATACCAGAGTGACTTGTGTAAATAAGTTAGCAGCATCTTGCAAAAGACCCCCCTGGGTTATCTTTGTTTTTACAAGCATGCTTTAGTTTAGTCACACAAATACTGATTACATGCATGGAAAATTTTCAATTTTCCGCCACGTCACTCATCAAAGTAATCTGCATGCCATAGCACAGTGTCCTAAAGCATTCAGCGAGCTTAAGCTGCCTGTTTTCAAATAATATGGCACTAGCAACTTCCACAACTGGTACATCTTCTAGTTCTGACGACTGGCAGGCTACAAAGAGAACAATTCGCGAAAGAACATCATTGATGATAAATAACCCTCTGATGAGCGATGTCAAATTTGCAGTTCCTCTCGATCCAGGATCGAGTACTGGCAGTGGCAGCCAATTAATCTATGCTCACAAGCTTCTTTTATCTCTCAGCAGCCCTGTATTTCACGCCATGTTTTACGGCAACGTGGCAGATACCAGGGAAATAATTCCACTCTCCGATTGTCATTCTCGTAGTCTGATAGAGTTTATTCGCTATTTATACTCGGATGAAGTGCATTTGACCTCTGGGAATGTATTTGAATTATTGTATTTAGCAAAGAAGTACATCGTTCCTTTCCTGGCGGAGAGCTGTTGTCGTTTCTTGGAATCGGAATTGAGAGAAACCAACGTCTTTAGAATTCTGGAGCACGCTAGGCTGTTTTCTGAACCTGACCTAGAGCAACGCTGCTGGCAGCTGTTGGAGGCCAAAACTACCGCTTGCCTTCAGAGTGAAGGCCTTCTTTGGATCAGTCGCGACACTCTGTCATCGCTCTTAAAGAGAGATACACTTTCTTTGGTGGACGGAGAGTGCGCAATATTTAAAGCTGCGAGGAGATGGGCGGCTGCCAACTGCAAATTGCGGGATTTTGAACCCACGGGCGATAAGTTGAGAGGCGTACTTAAGGAAGTGTTGTACTTGATACGCTTTCCTATGATGCCTCCCAGATTGTTTGAGGATATTGTAGTACCATCAGGTATCCTAACAGAGCAAGAAATATCTCAAGTACACATGTTCCACAAACAGGGCGCGTCCTCCACTGCTTGCCACGTCAAATTTTCATGCAAGCCTCGCGGTCCCCGGATTCAATCGGGAAGCTCAGATGCCCAATTGTCACGTTGTTATCGGTACAGAGAAAATCAAACATTTCCAAGTTCCGAATGTTTCAACTCAGTCTCTGAAAGCTTGAGATTTTCAACCAGCAGAGAAGTGTACTTTGCTGGGGTTCGTCTTTATGCCCACAAAGACGAAGACAAACAGTATTCGGCTCAGCTTAGAGTTTCCAGATGTCATGGATTGAAAGAAGAAGTTTCTGCTACGCGTGGGATTTATACAGTTGGATACCTTGCAGGACAGGTACATAATAGGCTTGGGTTTGATGTATTAATTCCGAATCCATTTCTTCTAACAAAGGAATCACCTTTCGCTGTAAGGATTTCAATCTCAGGAAATGATGGAGCTAGAGTATCTCCAAATAAAGGCATTCCGATGACGTTTGTGAAATGTGAAGGGATCGAGTTCAAATTCGAGGGAAAATCGAGGCAGATATTGGAGATACTGTTCTATACTGTTGATTGAAAATGGAAAAGAGAATATCAACTGTTCATATTCTCTTGTAATGGAACAATGATTATTGCGTATTAAGTTTAAGTAAAGAAAAATGCTTTTTACTTCAGATGACTAAACAGACTTCACTAGGTTTTTACTCCTGTATAGAAAAAGTGGTTGTACTGAATAACTTATTATCTGTTAAAGAATAATTTTCGGTGTCTCGTGGACATTAAATTCGGAGGAATTTTGGATCAAGCGGTAGACGACCTTTCAATACTACTAGGCGTCCTTTTACTCTCTTATACTCAAGCGCCTGAAGGATGTTGTTTCTAAGCGGTTAACTTGCTGTAGTTTTGGAGAAAATGAAAGAAACGTTTGTTCTATAATGAGTCCTGCATTAAGCGCACACCTTTACGAGACCCTTGCTAGTGTCCGCCCCAGTTACAAGGGGGCCTTCTGTATTAGTTCCGACCCGTAAATTGCACAAAGATAACAACCGAACGTTCCGTTCTGTTACAGCGTCGGCAAACAGTATTGGTTATTTTAGCAACCGTTGAGTCCCTTTCTGCTTGCCCTGTACCGACGGGCTGTTTATGTAGAACTCAGAACACCACCACCTTGTGGGGGAGGTCGAGGGTTCGAGCCCCGGCCGGACCAACACTCAGGGTCTTAAAATAATTGAGAAGAATTTGCTACCTTTCTATGACATCAAGAAATGGTTAGATATTCTAGTCTTCTCGGATAGGGACGAATAAATGGAGGTCCCGTCTCCTGCAGGGTTGGGGTAGGAGACGTTAATTTCCCACACACGAGATTACTGTGTGATGGATGTCCTCCCCTGGGGTGGGATGGGTGGGTTAATAGAGGGCCACAGGATTATCAGTTTAACTACTGTCACGTGCTACCCTCTTGAAATAAAGTCTCTCTCTCTCGGA